ACCCCATCAAATACGTTGATTACCGAATTGACGCGTGTCGCATCCGTCGTATACGCGTACATGTATGCAAAAACCCAGACTTTCGGGACGCCTCAAGCCGCCACGGGCATGCAGTCGCAGCCGCAACTCATCCGTCCCGGAGGATTGTTTACGCACAAAAAGGTCGGTGCACAATCACGATTTTCATTCCTAAATATTACGATTTTTTACCATTAAAATACAACATTTGATCCATAAAAAAATGTACTGAGTACCGATTGTTTCTAAATTATAATAAATGACAATTTCTTGATCCTAAGCTATTCGACATTTTAGACCAAAATTTTAACATTGTTGTGTCACAAGAAGTAACAAACTTATTATTATAACTTACAACAATAAACTAACACGACTTCGGACTTAATCATTAGTATAAAAGACGGTATTTCACCATTAAAATGTTTCGAAAAAAGTTTATTTTTCAAATGTTTAGGTACCTACCTAATGTTAGCACTGTGCATGACAAATCTTTTAGTTATTAATTATTATTTTTCGCCCATAAGTGACTTTTGAACGATTATTTGAATTTTAGTTTGGACAACATAATAGAGACCTAAAAAATTACCGACGCAGAAATTTTAACCAACCAAGTGGATTTAAATAATTAGTCATGTGTTTGAGTGTTAGAGGTTGACCAATACTAATTATTGACCGTTGTCTGCGCTGATTTTAAATGGTTCGATAACCTTTCTCTCCCGATCGCACCTATGCGTTTTGACTGTATACATTGATTTTAAATCGTTCACATTTCATTGAATTTGCTCACTAACAGGTCTGGACGTGTTTTTGGCTAATTCCTGAAGTTAGATGGCGACGTCTGCCCTACGTTGTGTTTTCTGTATACATAAGTACATCGTACATATTATAGTGATCTCCGTGTGAACGGATCAACGAATACAGAACCGTTTAATTCGAGATATTTACAATAAAATATTGGTTCTCGTTCGTATTCTGCTTGTCAATCGTGGCATAATGATTGCAGGTCGGTGTCATTAAAATTATTGTTGTTATATAATATCCGCTCAGTCATTCGGAATCCGACGAATTTTATTCCGGCCGTATTACACTTACGGAACGCCGCGTGTCTCGTGTGTCAGACGACCTTGTGAATTATTTAGACAATAATAACGTACCTAATGCACTCGTAGGTAATCTCGCACGTCGCGTTTCGTTCCATTTAGTAGAAATGCGTGCAAATCTATGGCTGATGAGCCCGGGTGGACACTCGAATTGTATTGCTCGTGAATCACGCCAGGCGGCAGCGGAGACAAAGAAAAACAGTAAAAATTCTCCGCTTAAACGACACGCTCACAACAGCTGTTGCGCACTCGTTTATTTTAATATTTCCGAGCGCACAGCGAATATATAAGAGCTATAACAATGCATCATATTTCGTGTAATGTGTGTATTTTCTAATTTCGTTCAAGCAGCAAAAAAGTGCAGCGCCTTCTTAATAATCAGGAAACCAGTTATGTGGTTACTTTTCCATTATATAGTTCCATTGATTGGACATTTTCTGTTATTTAGGGGAAAAAAAAATTAAAGGATCTTGAGCCTTCAAGCAGTAATTTTCAACCAGTATCGGGTAAACTGTACAGTCTATTGAAGTAGTTTTACATGTGCAAATTCAATGATTTTCTGCATCGCTCTCTAATAATAAATGATTACCGTCATATCTCTGGACCTAACCGAACTCTGGATTTGACATACAATAGCGTTTGAGTAGAAGTAAAATTATTATATACTATTATGTACATTTTACTTCGATGGTTTGCTTCAAATTATAGCTGTTGTCTGCTGACTACAAATTGAGATTATTTATCAGATTTATATTACATTTATCAATCATATACATGTATGGTTATGCATGATATATTATCATACGGTACCGAAATATTGTGACCAAATAATATTAAGGTAGAATTTTGAGAACTAAAAAAAATATTTAGGCCAATCTAATAGGTACTTCAATAATAATAATGTGGTGCAAACGATCGGCAGCGATTACACTTCCACCTATATAGATCCACCTCCACCATCAACGGCGCATATGTCACGACCTCTTTTGCCGCGTGTATGTCGTCGTCGTATACCTGTCGTCGTGTTGAACAAATTCCTGACGATCATCGGATGAGAATCCTTGAGATTCCGAAGTCGGCGGCTGCGGCGATAGTGACGTTTCGGGCAGATTGCCCGCGCAGGCACACGCACACTCATCCCCACTCGGCCGTGGCCGGTGCATGCAGCCGCGAGACCGGCGACGAAAGTCTCCGAGAAAACAAAACACACACACACACACACACACACACACACACACACACACACACAAACAAAATATACACAGTTGGCTGTGGCAGCGAACGTTATTATAATTACACAGACGTCGTCGTCGTATATTGTGTGTGCCAAGCGAGTACTGAACTATTTCGGCTGTATATATTATTGTAGGATGTATGATACGATACATATTATTCGCGTTCGGAAAAAGAGTGGAAAAAAAAAACGTAAACGATCGACTTGATTACACAACACTCTAATGTACACGTCCTATAATTTATACATACACATGTATAAGCTATATACACCCCAAGTGCCCAGTGTACATTAGGTACAAAAGTTACATCTAATCTCTCTATATAACATGCGATTCGACGTACCTGCGTGACTGAATACTTATAACCACCCATTGAGCACATTAATGCTCAGCGAACACAGACCAACCGGATTTGAATTTTTCGTGGGCGGATGCAAAACGTTATATTTATGACGTGTATACGCCTATATATCCTGTATATTACATAGCGAGGTATATAAAGTATATGTGTACAACATAATTACGCATGTGTGTCGTGTGTGTGTGTATGTGCATGTGCATTGTGCATTGTGCAGTCGACGCGTCGTCTTCTTTGTGTCTTTGCTGGCCAGTTTCATTCCACACCTCGACGGCGGCGGCGCCGGCTCGAGAATAATGCTTAATATACATAATTTACATACACGCCGAGTTCATACGACCCATATTACGTTTTATTATCGTAAATTGTTAATCGTTTTAAACTTTAGCTCAATATATAATATTATATACCTATAGACTATGACTATAATATAATATATGCAAATGGAAACATGATACCATTTCCGTCTGACATACCGTAACGAGCAGCAATTCTTAATGTATTATTATTAATAATAATGTACATAATATGTATTATGTATACTTTAAAGCCATATAGAGGTAGGCACTGTGATTGTTTTCGCTCGTAATAATTTGACCATTAATTATGGCTATAGCAGCTGCTGCGTCAATATCTGATTTTTGTTATGATTCACCGGCTTACCTATACATGGAATCGATTTTACTATCGTAGTATATCAGATAAATACGGGCTTTGTTTTTTAAACACCATAATTTGTTTCGATATTTTATTATCCAGCAAAAAATTGTTGGCATTCGAGATAATTTTTGAAAATCGCTCATATCGATCGTAAATTATTATGGGTAATGGGTGTGATAGTATATGAATGTTGAATACAATTGATTATAATCTAAACCAATATGTTATTGCTATGCTATATAATCGAACCCACATTGATACGTTTTCTACCGTAAAATACACCGTGAAAAAAATAAAAGGCACACTTTAAGTTGTAGAGATTTCAAGAAATTTTAACATCTGTTATCAACACATTATATGTATAAAAAATACATACGTAATAATATATAGGTACCATAAATGTTACTAGTTCTTTACTAGTTCTTTAAGTTAGGGTGCTGGAGTACTAAAAATGTTTTATAGCAAAATAAAGTACCTATGGAAACACAATTGCCCTCATACAGAAATTCTGGGAGGCTGAAGCCTACCCGAGCCCCATCCTAAAGTTACGCATATTATAATAATACATAAGCAAACACACACGCGTAATATTGTTATATGCAATTTTTAAATGTATCATGAATCATTATCTATTTATTTAAACTTTACGATTTTGATTAATCTCAATAAATATTCTCGTTTTGGAAATAAATATACTTAATTATGATGATTCTGTATTAGCTATATGCCTATATTATTATGTTGTGCATAAGTGTTACCGATTCTTCCGGCAAGTTTTATCATAGTGGGTAGGTAGGTAGGTACGAAAATCGCAGGTACGCGATTACAAACGATTTCCGGAAATGACGTAACGAACGAGCATGATATTTTCACATAGATAAATGAAATATATTTAGTGGGCTAGAACTGACGTAGGTACATATACTAAATTATTTAAATGAATAATAATATGATGACTTTGACAAACAGCTCCACAAATGCATTACTTCTGCATCGACCAGAAAAAAAATACACTTATACATGTTATAACCCAATATTTTGTCAGTGACTCGGAAAACGCGTACGGGATAAAATTCATTGCACAGCAGTAATAAATAAACGAAACAATAAGCACATTAGCAGACCATATAACAATATATTATTACTGTGTAGAAGTGCACTCGCGTGGATTTGGCGTCTTTGATTACACGCGCGTGTCCGCGGCCTGAGTGGGCAATAATTGCGTATTATAGATTCGATCGATTTCACGCGTGTGAACCAGGTGTAAGGTATAATATAGCAGCAGAGTGAATCGTATTCGCTCCCGGTGCAGCATTACATGGCACAATTCGCACAGACACGTCAGGGTGTTAAATTATATTATCGGCGGCGTTAATAGTTATTGTAGGAATTATTCCAACACCACGAATCGCATACTGCAATATAATATTATTATTTTTATGTTTTTCGTCATTCTCACGCATGATTATTCGATACAGGTGGTATTTCACCAATTGCACAACAAACGGATGTTTGAATAAAATATTCGTAAAATCATTTAGGATACAAAAGTGATTTACCTACTGTATAATATTATACATAATAATATATTGTGTGAGAATCCACCTCTAAGTTTGTTATTATATACTATGATGTCAAACTTATAATTATAATAATTCAATTCACCACCTGTTGTTTTTGCTATTTAGTATTTAAAAAGTGTGGAGTGAAACCGCGGATACGTTGGGAGTTCACTGGTTCACACCAATTAGATCTAAAGCGCCGGCTGCTACATGATCTTATATTTTCATG